AACAATAACGAACGATGTAAAATGACTCGTAGAAAACGCTCTTAAGCGCTAAGATCAGTCGTTATCGAGAAACGCAGCCCAGGCGTTGCTTTATACTGAAGGAATAGGCTGCGTGTGAGCACAGAATACAGATGAGCTCAGACGGGGAAGACTGTACAGTACCTCTTGTTGAATTTAGGCTATAGGCTACGAATTAAATCAAAACAAATTTGCTTTCGATTGTTTTATTTAAGTAGACCTTTAGACATAAGGTGCGCCAGAAAGCGCTCCCTGTTATTTTACAAAAGCAATTTGTAACGTTTTGTTGTTATTGTGGAAGTATAGAAAATAAAGCAGACATTTCTTTCCTCTGTTATCACAGTGTCGCCTAGAGGTCGCGCCGGCGCCGCCGCACCGAGAAGAGTAGTGCTGTGCTTCATATGAGATCTATATTTGCAAGAAATATGTATACAACAGCCAGACAGTTTGAAGAAACGTTATTGTGACTAATTTGCAGAAAATATGTCGTTTTAACGAGAAAACATCTCGTTATTACGAGAAAACATGTCTTTTTAACGAGAAAACTTCTCATTACGAGAAAATATGTCGTTTTAACGAGAAAACATCTCGTTATTACGAGAAAACATGTCTTTTTAACGAGAAAACTTCTCATTACGAGAAAATATGTCGTTTTAACGAGAAAACATCTCGTTATTACGAGAAAATATGTCGTTTTAACGATAAAAGATGTCGTTAAAACGAGAAAACATCTCGTTATTACGAGAAAATATGTCGTTTTAACGAGAAAACATCTCGTTATTACGAGAAAAGATGTCGTTATTACGAGAAAAGATGTCGTTATTACGAGAAAAGATGTCGTTATTACGAGAAAAGATGTCGTTATTACGAGAAAAGATGTCGTTATTACGAGAAAAGATGTCGTTATTACGAGAAAAGATGTCGTTATTACGAGAAAAGATGTCGTTTTAACGAGAAAACATCTCGTTATTATGAGAAAAGATGTTGTTTTAACGAGAAAATATATCGTTTTAACGAGAAAAGATGTCGTTATTACGAGAAAAGATGTCGTTTTAACGAGAAAAGATGTCGTTAAAACAAGAAAAGATGTTGTTATAACGAGAAAAGATGTCATTAAAACGAGAAAAGATCTCGTTATTACGAGAAAATATGTCGTTTTAACGAGAAAACATCTCGTTATTACGAGAAAAGATGTTGTTTTAACGAGAAAAGATGTTGTTAAAACGAGAAAAGATGTCGTTAAAACGAGAAAACATCTCGTTATTACGAGAAAAGATCTCGTTATTATGAGAAAAGATGTCGTTAAAACGAGATAATTGAGTGGAAAAAATAATATGTGTGCGGCAGCAATGCGTCACCGTAATATTCTGAGTTGCATTATTTTGATTCATTTTGAGGAATACTGAATCTGTGTTTTTATTTTGTGAGTGAGATGAATTAATGCATATTCATATTTATTTTAGAACTACAGTAACATCTGATTTCTCTCAACAAGGGGACAGGAGAGCTGTCAATCAATAAATTGGAAAAAAAAGTAACTTAGTTACTTATTTGAAAAAGTAACTCAGATATTCTCTTGTAAGTTAAAAAGTAATGGGTTACTTTACTAGTTACTTGAAGAAAGTAATCTGATTACGTAACTCGCGTTACTTGTAATGCGTTACCCTCAACACTGGTGGCTACCTCAAGCGATCTGTCTGAGCACGGTGTGCGATGTTCGGAACCTTGCAAATGAGTACAACGTCGTGATTTCAAGACAGGGATGATTTTATAACGAGATGTTGTTGCAGTGGTAGTAAGTGCGTGCTCTTTTTGGACAGGGAAGTATAATAGGCCTACAATGAAAATATTATGTTATTTCCCATTTTATGGACCCTTTGAAAAATGTTTTCGTGTGACATTTGCTGTTAGTTTATACATTTATACATACACCTAAGATTTCTTTTCTATTAGACTATTTTTTCCTCTTCAAAAAAAAACGTTTTCCCTTCTTCCAAAACTTTTTTTGTCTTCAAAAACGTTTTTCTCTACAAGAAGCAAGACAAGAAAACAGGAATAAGTGAAATATACAAAGAGAAAAAAACTGTGTATGAGTGTTTGCATCAGTGAAAGTTTAATTTCTTAGTATTCAATAGCATACAATCAATGCTCATACTGGTTTCCCCAAATGTTATTTGTTTTGTTTAGTTTTTTTTGTTTAATTTTGCTGAGTACAGAGTGGTAGAAAAAAAATGCAAATGGCAAAAAACAAGCAAATAAAAAAACTAACAAAAAACAGTATACATACATTCAGAATTTGACAGTAATATCTAAAAACCCATCAACTTGCAATTTGACCCCATTCGTATTATACACACACTGTGGTTTAAGAACAAATACATTTTTGTACATTTGCATAGACTTTGTATATATTTGAATGAATTATTACCATAGCTTTAGAGATGTACACATCCCCATGAATCGTTTTATAGGTTCAATGAATATTGAAATAGTTCAAACAGTGTATGGATTTATGTTTTGTATTTAATCATTGACATAAAATATGTCCAATGCCATAACTTTTATTCATCAAAATTCAGCATGCTTCATTCGTATTACTTAACATTTATCTAACCATTATGTTTTTTGATATTGTTGAAAAGCTGTTATGTTTAGTGTGTTATTGGTATCTATACCATAGCCAATAATGTGTTTATTTATGTTAAAGTGTTAACACATTTATTTATACAAATACAGACAAACAGAATTAAAACATTTCATAATATATATATTTTTAAAGATTCTGATGTTATAAAAGCTGTGCATACATACATATTTAATGTCATACATTGTTTCAGTGTATACCCAAACATACAAAAAGGCAGGTGCAACCATATGTGCAAATTACTTTGAATATTAATGAGATTACGTTAAAAAGTAAAATCATATTTATGTAGTAGCTAGAAAATACCAATTAAAGTTCACCATTGGTTTTTACTTCAGACCCTGTATCTACCTGACTTCCACCCTAAACTTCCTCCCTTGACTCTCTTTAAAGAAGAGGTAAAACAAAGGGTTGTCATTGCTTTCAATACACATTTAAATGGTGTTTTGTTGTATAATAAACTCAAGAGTATTTATAGCATATTGTGCGTGTTTCATCAAGATTACTTTGGCAGATTTAGCTCCTGATGCCACTTTGTGCTCATAAATATCTGTAAATGTCTCTGATTATCCATTTGTTGGTGGCAGCTGTAGACTTCTATGTTGTCAATATTACCTGTTTACAGATTCACAGTGTGGGAGGCCTGCGAGAACACACCATGTCAGTGTAGCTCAATACTGGCAACAGATGCTACACATTTGGACGCACTTCTGCATTGTTTTTAGCTACATGAGAGAAGCGAACTACTTTTATTTGGGCTGCCCCGGCATTGATGTCCCGCCACAGATATTCAGGAGAAAGCAGTTTACTGGGTTTATTATAAAGGAAATACTTGTTCAAGTGAGACTCCTCGTGCCATATCGCCTCAATGGAGTTTGCAATATCAATTTTCATCTCTGCCCGGCAGGTTTTGGTGAGATGATGTACATCCTCCAGTGAGCCGCCAAATGCAGCGCCAGTAAAATAATAATCACCCTCTCCAGCTGGAATGTATGCTTTAGACTCTGGTCTACGCTCATATGTGAACTGATCCCTTGGAGCATCAAAGAACCAAGGATGTATCACACCAACCAGACGACCCAAAGACTCCACACCCCAGCGGCTATAGAACTTTGTATCTACGTCAAGGCAGAAAATATAGTCGGCCTCACTGGCCAGTTCATTCTCTATTAGTTTCTCCAGTATTTCCATCCTGCCCATACTGATATCCTGCCATCTGTTCATACTTGGAACCTTTCGAACTGTCAGACTATGATTTTCACCCATCTTAACTTCAGGAACTTCTTCTGGTAGATCCGTAAACAAGTAGTAATTCACTCGAAATCCAACAAAGTAATGCTGCTCTGCTGACTCCAGAAACTCTTTGAGAAAACGTGTGTATCTAACAAACAGAGAAAACAAATACAGGGAGATATAATTAATTTATTTATCATTTAATCATTACTGTTTCCAGAAGCAAAGAAAAACAGAGGAGGAGAAATACTGATACAAGATGAGAGGTATCATGCGGAACTTACTTTCCCAAAGCGAAGACTGTGGTCGCTATGGTGAGATTCTGTTGTTTGTAGATAAAGTCGATCAGTGTGGCGTCAAAGGTTTCCTCCCAAATGATTGGGGCTAACCATGACGTTACAGAAGCAACATCTGTCCGACTTCATTAAAACACACAAACAGCATTGTAATCATTCTATTCATGAGGGTAAATGGGCTAATACAGGTAAAAACATAATACTCACCTTACCAGCGCACTGGGCTGGTTGTACAAAAACCTGCAATGCACATGAATAAGCAGAAAGAACAACAGTCATTTTATCGGTACACACAGAGTTAATACAAATTTAAAACATGGGTTTCCCAGTTTATCTATTTCCATCTCTCACTAGTCATCTGATCAGAACAATAAAAATAACCATGAACCAAGAATGTTTTTGTCTTATGTCATTAAGGATCAACTTTAAAAAGTCTCTTTTAAGAAGATGAAGTTTTACATACCCCAGCGATGAGCACAATCCAGAGTTCTTAAGCTTCCACTTTGCCCTGATAATAACAGAGTCAAACTCTTACTCATCTGAATTTAATCATAGGGTGTGAGTGTGTGTGTTTTAAGTTGATGTGTATAAGCATATACTGTATGTACACTCAGAAATAATGCAAAAATTGTACCTTGTTACATGAGCATTTTTTGTGTGTGTGTTACAGTGAGGTGTTTACGTATATGCATTACATTACTTACTTGGTGATGACTCTTTCTATTATCTGCGGTTTGCAACTTAAAACAGTAAAAAAAGAAATGAATAAATGTCAGCAAACAAAAAAAAAAAAAAAAGAGAGAATAACACCTAGACAAACACGGTTCAGATGTTGTGTAACTGCACTTAACTCACCTGTTCTGGTTGGTGTTCAGGTAAATGAGCCTGTGAAGAAAGACATATAACTTTATGAGGAGCGATCTTTGTAAAGATGTGTGACTGGTTGGTTTTCTCAGAGATCACATTTAAGTTTTATTTCTCATGTTTGTCATGTACACAGAAAATGCAGCATAATGAATTGCGTGATTACACATACTGTACATCTTGACAATCAAATTAAAATGTACACAGTTTTAAAAGGGGCCATAAAAATGCAGTTTTAGATTTGTATATTATGTTTCTCATTTTGCACCAAAAAAAGGCCAATATATGTAAAAAATTATAATTTCCATCTAATTTTCACACTCTGTGAAGCACATTTAATTTCAAAACGCTTAGTGCTGTGATTGACTAACTTTTTCCTGTCCACAGTAACACTATCTATCTATCTATCTATCTATCTATCTATCTATCTATCTATCTATCTATCTATCTATCTATATATGGTAACACTTTCAATATATTATTGAAAAAAAATTTAAAATATATAAAAAATATATTTGGATATATATTTCAATCATGACAACTCTCTGAAGATTTTAGTATGGTAATGGTTATGACAATGTTAATATATATATCAAATATACTTTAACCGAAGGTGCTTTTGACTGCGTGAGAAAATGGACGTGTGGCATAAGAACTTGAGAACATTGTCAATTATGTGAGTCTCACGCTGAATGTGTTAATCCTTCTCACTTTCTCTGTCTCTCTCCACATCCAATGAAAAACTAATTTACAGTTTATAGTCACTTTGAACAAATAAATCGTATAAATAATGTTAATAATTAATAAACATTAATGATCATGAAACATTAACATCAGAATATGTAGCTCTGTATTTTAGCTTTGAAATGCTTGCTTCACAACTTGCCACACAAATAAGTGAGGTTCCTGATATCCAGCCTATCAAGACCTGATGCACATTGTGGTGGACACTAAACTTAATAATAATAATAATCCTTTAAGAGATCACTTAATTAACATTGCATATTGTTACTTGATTCTGTTAAGATTATAATAGGTGCAAATTATATTAAGATTATAATAGGTGCTTCCATTGTCCTCATTTGTAAGTCGCTATGGATAAAAGCATCTGCTAAATGACTAAATGTAAATGTAAGTTGATGAGGTCGGGCAGAGTGCCTGCAGGGCTGCCAACTCTCATACATTCAGCATGAGACTCGCGTGTCTGACACTGTTCTCACACTCTCATGCCACACGTCCATTTTCTCACATAGTCAAAAGCACCCTCAGTTATAGGATATTGGCGAAACATATTTGGTAAAGGCTCCAGTTTGTGTTTGTGCTTTGGAAGGCTTCAAACGTTTCTATTTACAACATGTTTTTGTAGCATTAAGCAGTATAGTCAATCACAGACATGTCTGTTGGTTTCTTGAACTCCTCTGATTGGCCATTCCGTTCAAGTTAGTCCAAATTCACTCACCTCTAATTGCCGGTGAAGTGAGTGACAGCTTTTTAGTGATTATATGGAAGTGCTGTATTTGCCCGCTTTCTAAGCTACACATAATCCATTCAGAATTTGAATAAAAGTTTTGATTTTCGTGTTGTTAATAGGACCAATGGCCACATAGACAGGAGTTTCACAATATTTGCAGCAATTTCTGGTAAATATTGACACATAATGTACATTGATTGTGCATTAACAGTAGCATTAATTACAGTATGATTTTATTCTGGGAAGTGATAAAGTGACAGAATTAATATGTTCTCATACTTGGCAGTCAAATGTGACCGAAGTTTTTATCAATTACATAAATGTGCTATCTTTTAGTTTAGCAACATTTAGTCAAAACTTTGAGGACATTTTTGGTACTAAATAATATGTGCAATAATTATGATCCATGAATGACCATTTAAAATATACAGAGTACTTTCTAATATATGTATTAATTTTATTAGGCTACAATTAGTGTAGTATTTAAGGTTAAAACAGAGAAACGTTTTTAAATTCCAATGCAAAGAGACAATTTAGAGGTATTTGGTGACCGGTAAAATAATATTCATATGTAATGCTATGTTTAACCACTAGATGCCTGTTTGATGGCTGTTTAAAGGGGTCATATGATGCTGCTAAAAAGAACATTATTTTGTGTATTTTTTGTGTAATGAAATGTGTTTAAGGTTCAAAAAACACATTATTTTCCACATACTGTAAATTATTGTTTCTCCTCTATGCCCCACCTTTCTGAAACGCGTCGATTTTTACAAAGCTCATCGGTCTGAAAAAGCGAGGTGTGCTGTGATTGGCAAGCTATCCAGTGCCACAATCATGTGACGGAAATGTTACGTCCCTTACCATATTGTGATGCCTGCGGCAACCACATGTGACGACCCCAGGCTGGACTCCGCTTCGTCCACGGTGAAAGCCGATCCGGCGATCCACAGCGCGAAGTTGAATATTTCCTCAGCGACCAGCACGGATCAGCTCCAGGCATGACGAAGCAATATCGCCCACTTTTGGAAGGCCAAACAAAGTAGTTTCGCTTTCACAACGAAGCACACAGCGCCTTCACGACATGGTGGCGGCAACAACAATACTACAGCGAGAATAAAAGTTACGCCTTCTTTCTTTGCGGGAACATTTGGGCGGCGTTATGCAAATCTTCCAAGATAGTGACGTAGATATGTGGGGGCGTGTTAGAACGAAGCGTTTTAGGTAGGCGTGGCTGACTCTTAAATTTTATAAAGAATATCTCTTTATTTTTATTTTTTTAATTTGATTCGAGACTTTAGTCTTTGCAACTTTACAGATCTTCTTTATGCACCAAGAGCTTGTAACACTCCAAAGAGAAAGGGAAAATTTAAATCGCATCATATGACCCCTTTAATAAATGCATACAGTTCTAGTTTAGTTGCTGAAAAGAGTAATGCTGGTCATAATTGCTTATTTATTTATTTTAGCTTTTGCATTTGAATATATATTTAGACGTTATCAAACACTTGATTTTGATAAGTTTAGATTTTTAAAATGTTAAATTTAAAAAGTTTAATTACTCACATACTAAAGTTATTTTATGATATCCACATACACAACAAGTGAATATGAATGAATGCAAGCAAATACGGAATATAACCTAAGAAAGAAGTTTAAAATAGTGTTAAAAAACTATACAGCAACCAATAGCATTCAGCGAAAAACTTTATTATATAATACATCCAGTGTGGCGTTAGGTAAGTTATTCCTTGAATATGCAGTATTCACAGAAATTCATTTGACCTCCTACAGGGAGAGAAAAACTGTAGAAAGGCTAAAAATGGTTAAAAACATGACAACTTTAATCTGTTTTTGGTAGCTATTGAAGTGTTGCTCATGTTATCTAACTGTGATTATAGTCTAACTATATATTATCTAACGATATACATTAACCATAACGCGCTTTATAAAATACCACTACTTGTTACATTCCTGAGAAGTCAACAAATGTGTTCAAATGTAAAAAAAAATTCAGTAATTTCTTCAATTTACCAGTGAGTGCCCTTGAAAAGCACTGGAATGAATGTGCTTTAATGCTGGAAATATTGGTTGTTTCAAAGACTAGTCTCTAGAATATCCAAGATGTGTCACTCATATAATTTTGACTGGAGAAAAACACTCAATATGGCCACTCTGTTGAAGGAAACCACGCCTTCTGAATAAAAGAGCCAATCGCTAATCGGTAAAGTCATTGCATCACTGCAGCTGCCATTAGAAGTCCCGGTTGCTAAAGAAATAGACACTCCAGACACGTGGACACATCTGCCATCTTGGAACGGTCTATATGTCGTTACTCACAATGAAAATCAATGAGTTGCAAGATGCAACAACATTGAGCATCTGGTTTTTAAACTATAGTACCTTTTAGATGTCTTGTTACCTAACGGATTCGTCTTGTTGTATTGTGTTAATTTAGCAAAAGCATTTTCTGAAATCTACTGAAGATATACAGTAGATATTAATACATGCATATAACTACAGTTGCAGTGCAGATGCATCTACTGAAGAAACAAAGTCACCTACATCTTGGATGCCCGGGGGGGGGTAAGCAGATAAACATCACATTTTCATTTTTGGGTGAACTATTCCTTTAAGTAATTTGTGGATTATTGCTTATTGGAGACGCGAACCGTTTCAAACGATTCAGTCCGATTTGGTGAACTGGATCAACCGGTTCACTAAGAAGAACCGGTTAAAAATCTAAGGATTCGTTCGCGAACCGGACATCACTAGTAGAGCAGTCCGCAATAACCGTCTCCCTTTTTGGACGTTGCGCGTTCTTTTGGGAAAGTATGCTTGAATTTGAAATATTCGCTATTCACGATATTTTTTATTTTTACATCGTCGTCAAAATTATTGCGATATCATCGCTAATATTCGATATATCGCCCAGCCCTATTTGCAGTTATCATTTTATGTTAATATGTTGAATTTAGAAAAACCATATTGTTATATGTTGTATTAACTGGATGTTTTTAAATAAACACTGACAAAACCTAAGTTTTTGTGATGGGCGATATGACAGTATACAGTAATCTAAGTGATCACCCGGATTTAGAACAACCTATTTCGTATTTACCAAATGCGTACACAGGCAAATTTGCTTTAAGTATTTCCCCGGCGTCGAAATCAGGCACATATAAATGTCAGGAAAAACAATTCCTGGCTGCATATCAATATCCAATAGCCACTGGATCTTTGATAAGTTGTAAGGAACACTAGGCTATATCGAGTCCAACCACGATTATTATAGTTTTGCATTTTTAGACAAGATTATTTTTCTTACCCCATTGGCAGATTATTTTGCTTGTTTCAAGCAAAAACTCACTTGAATTCGACTTGTTTTTTCTGAAAACAAGACAATAATTTTTTACTTGTCTAGAAAATCCTTCTTGATTTAAGAATTTTTAGATATTTTGGCTGGAAACAAGACAAAAGATCTAAGCTAGACAAGCATTTTTTGCAGTGTGTTATGTCAGTTAATACTCAAACATCATGGCTTGCTTATAGTCTGTTTGTTGCATTTGCAGTGGGTGTCAGGATTACTCAGTTAACGCATCACTGACTATTTCCACCCATTACTGTGTTTCAAGACAGCCGGTTAGGTGCATTCATTCATCTGAAGCTATGCTCTGTACAAAGTTAAGTGGGACCAGTTAAACCAGGATTTTCAATGGCGTTTGTAGCTTAAATCATAAAAAATGTCTATTTTAGGACACATAAATTATTTCATTATTTAGGACACATTCTAAACAAATAGTCACATGATAAAAGCTAAGAAAAAGGTTACTAGATTATTAACAATTATACTTTAAACTCTCCTTTTAACCTAGGTGTAAATATTTAAACCGATAATTCAGTATTTAAAAATTCCATATATATATATATATATAAAATTTAAGATCACATAATTTAAGAATATGTTTAATAATAATAATGATTGTGTTGCTCATTTTGGACTGACATTTTGGAGTTGCATTTTTAAGGGCATCATGTTTGCATTTCTGTGATGTATGCATGTATTAATTTGTTCTCTATGAAATAAAAACAATATACACATAAAAATGCTAAATACTTTATCCTGGCCCCATGTCAAGCAGGGGTAATGTTATCAGCTTCTGAGAAATGACTCGGCTGCTTCTACACAATTAAGAGTTTTCATTGTTACTGCATTATTGTCACATCAATTCACAAACCAAACACCAAGGCAAACGATCTAATATCGCTGAAGAGTAATTACATACCCACACAATACCAGCCCAAAGAATGCAAGAATGATGAGAAAACTCTGACGGAGCACCATTATTCCTGGAATACTTGTGTCCACATTGATGTGAAGTTAAAGACTGAAGCTTAAGCGAGAGGAATAAAGCAAGAGACATTTAGACCAAGGAAGGAGGAGTGTGTTGTCACGGTGAGAGGGACATTTCTGAGTCAAATACACATTAGGGTGGGGCTCTGTATTGGGTGAGCACAGCAAATTAAACTCAAAACATAAAGCCAGATTGATGAGAACATTATAATAACCCTGAAACCTTTTAAAGGATTCACAAGGACAGAATTATTAGAACTCCTGTTTACTGTGGTGTATTTGAGCATGTAAAATGTGAAACTCATGAATACTCGTTTGAGATCTGGAACTCATTAGATGTAGTAAACAAAATAAAATCAATAAATAAAAATGTGAATTGACTCAGAAATGAACCTTGCTTATGACAGTGAAACCAACCTCAGCTCAAATATCAACAATGGGAAGAAAAAGTTTGGAAACAATAGACAGAAAAAACATGCCTTAAAAGATAGAGGAAACAAAACCAGTTACACATGAAACTAAAAACCAGGTTTAACATATGAGAACAAGTAACTTTTTTGAATTCTGACACACCCTTAATATACTCATCTGACCTGTTTGAGGAACACTCTCACTCCCTTTAGGGGTACACTATCTTGTCAGTGGGGCAGTATCCTTTCACATAAATATAACACATCAATTATTTTGTTTCTTTAGAGCACATTATAAACAAATGGTCACATGACAAACCTGAGAACATTTTACTAGATAAAAGAGGTTGATGAAGAATCTTGTCCTTCTGCGGTGACCGTGATTTCACCAAGTACAACATGTTCCTGCAACAACATTCCTATAAATCAATCAGAATTGAGGTATAACTTTTCAGGAAATATCTGTTTTATCTGTTTATTTAAATTATGGGTAGGGTTAGGTTTAGGGGTAGGGATTGGGTTAAGTCTGGGAAGAAAAAGTTTGGAAACAATAGACAGAAAAAACATGCCTTAAAAGATAGAGGAAACAAAACCAGTTACACATGAAACTAAAAACCAGGTTTAACATATGAGAACAAGTAACTTTTTTGAATTCTGACACACCCTTAATATACTCATCTGACCTGTTTGAGGAACACTCTCACTCCCTTTAGGGGTACACTATCTTGTCAGTGGGGCAGTATCCTTTCACATAAATATAACACATCAATTATTTTGTTTCTTTAGAGCACATTATAAACAAATGGTCACATGACAAACCTGAGAACATTTTACTAGATAAAAGAGGTTGATGAAGAATCTTGTCCTTCTGCGGTGACCGTGATTTCACCAAGTACAACATGTTCCTGCAACAACATTCCTATAAATCAATCAGAATTGAGGTATAACTTTTCAGGAAATATCTGTTTTATCTGTTTATTTAAATTATGGGTAGGGTTAGGTTTAGGGGTAGGGATTGGGTTAAGTCTATATTTTTGGACAGTTATGTTGATCCAGGATCAACAAAAGATGTCGATCCAGGAACATGTCTTATTTGGCAAAATCACGGCGACCTCCTTCTACACTCTTAGAAAAAGGCACTAAACTGCACCATTTCTGAACTAACACGTACCTTTAAGTTTTACTTAAATATGGTATATGGTGTACGGTTCAATTGCTTTTATTGCTAGATATTACTGTAGGTCGTTTAATAAATGTTTACTTACAGTAACTTTGGTCATCACTTGTTGAACATTAACATGGAAGCGTCATGCTGATATTCATACTCGGCTTCCTTGACCTAATGGTAATGCCCACCTTGTTTGATTTGATTACACAGACATGTTGACATTGACGAGAAATTTTTAACAGGGTGGCGAGAGGGATACAGTAAATTCTAGGCAGGCACACAATAACATATACTAGAAAGATGTGGTAACCTGCAATTGTAATTTCAAGGACATATTTGTACTTCATCTAATCCATAAACATGCATGGCGTCTGTTCCCTTACCAAAAAGTAGTATACTTCAAGTTTATTTTAGTAAGTATACAAATAGATCAAATATATTTAGACTTTTTCTAAGTATAAGTCAAGTATACTTAAATATCATTTTAAGTATATTTCTGAGAAGTACATAAAGCCCATTTCTGAGAAGTAAATAAAATGTAGACTAAATGTATACTTTCCTATTTTTAGTTTAAAAGAAGTATACTAATAGCACACTTGAATAAACTTATTTTTCATAAGGGTTGATATAATTTGTTAGGTTGTTATTGTCAGATTCAATGACATTTTGATTGCATGAAATCAGCACATAATCTAGAAATGTATGTAGCATGTAACAAAACAATTGTAGCAAACAGTGAATGGGTGAAGAAAAGATCATTCTTAATTCAGTTTTTAAAAATTAAAGGTTTAGTTCGCCCAAAAATGAGAATTTTGTCATTAATTACTCACCCTAATGTCATTCCAACCATGTTAGACCTTTGTTCATCTTCGGAAAACAAATCTGGATATTTTTGACGTAGCTTCATAAAACTACTGTTGAACCACTGATGTCACATGGACTATATTAATGATGTCCTTGCTTTGTTTCTGGGCCTTGAACATGTCAGTTCAATTGCTGTCTATGGGAGGGTCAGAAAGCTCTCGGATTTCATCAAAAATACCTTAATTTGTGTTCCGAAGATGAACAAAGGTGTTACGGGTTTGAAACGACATGAGGGTGAGTAATTAATGACAGAATTTTTATTTTTGGCTGAACAATCCCTTTAATACCAGAAATACAGTCTAGACCAGTGTCACTAAATGTAATATTTGTAAGTCAATATTTACTTTAAATATGTAATATCCTGGCACTACATCAAGCAAGGCATATATAATACAGACAGACATGCAATTCAAGTAAAACCACATGGCTCGTAAAGGCTTGCTATGAGTTGGTGGTTTTGCAACACCGTACATTTTTGAAGAGATTTATGATTCCCTTTATTCAAAGTTTGACAGCATAGTAAATTTGAAAAAAAAACAAAAAAAAACACAAGGTCACAGTGTTTTGTTAACTTTGAATTTCCGTTACATTTCCATAAGATCAATAAAACCTTTATTGCATTGCATAAAATGTTTTTCACATGACAAAAAACTTATCAGCTGTTCTAACATTGGGAAGGTCAGTGTTTAATGAGAGATATAGTGAGTTTAAACATGTTTAAACTATATTTGCTTAAAACATACCAGAAGAAAAAATATATTTTAGTTAACAATTCAGTTAGACCGTTAGGAAGTGACTTTATACATTTAGTGCTTTAATTGATCTGGTCTTATTTGTTCCTTCCAGTGCTTCTGTCACGTTTATGGCCTGTTTTTGTTTTGTTTCCCTCTGTTCCTGCATGCCTGTATTTGGTTATGTTCCTGTCCTCATTAAAGTTCGTTATGTTCATTTGGTTTTCCCGTGTGTTTGATTGTTGATTGCTCCCAGGTGTGTCTTGTCAATTACCCCATTAAGTTCCTGTCTGTGTTACCTGAGTTTGTCCGGTATTCAACGTCGATGTTGTTACCTGTGTGTCCTGCCCAACCCAGTCTCACGGCAGTTCGTGATATAGTCACGAAATTTAATCTATTGACTCGTGTTCATGGACATGAATTTCCCTCTTTTTTCGTGTCCCTCAGCACGAATTTCCATCTAATGTATTTCAATAGGAAATATCTTTCGTGCCCTCCACCACGTTTTTCTTTTTGCCACTGGGTACCACAGACACTGTATATTTTTTTCTGATTTGTTATTCTTTTTTATATTCAAGCATTATTACTCAACATATAATCAGGAAATTGTATCCTTCTTTTTATTGCTTTATATTCTGTAATCTACTTGCTATTATAAACCCGCGATTCCTTGAGGTCATACTATACCTACACTACACACATACTATAACGTTACATATACAAATATACGAGACTGCGTTAATTAGAGACACACACGTTTATTACAGTATAGAAATTATAAAATATATTTTCTGCCTTATTCTCTGATAAAAATGGGGGGAAAGGTTACATTTGCGGTTTGCTCCTTATCAGCGAATAATCATAATAGCAATAATAATAAACCACTTGTGAAATTAGGCTTGCTAAACGTGGCTAACTTCAATATAAGCTAACTCTATTAATAGAAAGATATCCAAGACACTTCTTCAGGTCCAAAAAAGTTAAACATCCTTTATTCACTTCTTGGCCATCAT